TCTTTTTACTTAAAATGCAGGTCATATTCTTGTTAGCAGTGCCAAAGTTGATCAGAGAGGAGCAGGTCAAGACGATACCGGTTCTTTTACTGATTTTCTTGTTCCAATTCCTTCCCAAGGTCTACCACAGCATTTGCTTGATGAGAAGAATGCGAAAGGTCACCGGATATGTATTTGGCACAATCTGGTGGGGCTTCGGCATAAATATTATCGCCTATTTCATTGCATCTCATGTAAGTATCGATGACATCCCTATCCTACAAGCCCAATTAACGTTTGAACTATAATGTGTGTTCTCTTTTTGCCAAAACTGAGTTGTTTCTTTTTTTTTCCCTTTAATTATAAAACAACTGACATCTTCGGTGTAAGCTCATTTGCAGGTTGCTGGAGGATGCTGGTATGTCCTTGCAACACAGCGAGTGGTGATGTGCCTCCAGAAGCAATGTGACATGAGCGCGAAATGCAATTTCTCTGTTTCTTGTTCCAAAGTTATTAGTTATCAGTTTCCATCACCAGCCGAATCATTGAGGAATCTACCAGGAGGGAACTGGTCTTCACCGTGCTTTGACGATGATGGTCCATTCAACTATGGCATATATGGCGATGCACTTCCGGTTATTTCCAGCAAATCCCTCTCTGTTAGGGTCCTTTATCCCATATTTTGGGGTTTACTGAACCTGAGGTACTCCTTCAATCCGGACTTTCTGACTAAATGGAAATGAAAGCGAGCTGATTTAAATAAACTACTTTTTTTCTAGAAAAAGTTTGGAGAGAAATAAAAACCTTGAAGATTGTTATGTTCCGACTCTTTTCATGGACTATCAAAAAGATTCTCTCTTGTTTTTTTCTGGCAATGTTGACTCGGTATTCAGCCTCCAAGAATAGTCCTGTAGATACCAATGTCGCTCTCTCTCAGAATGTTATGGCGACTAGTTAACAGAGAACTCACCTCTAGATCTGCTATTTCCAGCACCTTTGGCAATGAGCTTGAACCTACAAGCAACTGGCTTGAGGTGATATTCAGCATCTGCATTGTGTTGAGCGGCTTACTGCTCTTTACTCTGCTTGTAGGAAATATCCAGGTATTATAAACATGCCGAATTGCATTACATGTACTCTTCCATCATGTCACATTTTATGATGGAGAATGATATTTTCCATTTGTTTCTTTAGATATTTCTGCATGCAGTCATGGTCAAGAAGAAAAAGATTCTGCTGAGGTTTCGGGACATTGAGTGGTGGATGAGGCGAAGGCAGTTGCCGTCTCATTTGAGGCAGAGAGTTTTCCATTACGAAAGCCAAAGGTTGGCAATCACCGGAGGAGAAGATGAGATGGAGCTAATCAAAGACTTGCCGGACGGTCTCCGCCGGGACATCAAGCGGCATCTTTGCCTAGACCTCATCAAGAAGGTAAAATCCAACAGCCCTTCAATGATTGTTACGTGAGTGAGCTAAAAGCGACCTATAGGCATAAAATGATGCCGTGACCTTGAGCCTTTGGTGATTGGCCAACAAATTGATACTGAGGGATCATCACAACCAATATTATACATAGATCGCTCTTAGGTAACCGAATCATCCTTGTTTGCAGATTAACCTAATCAATATGGAAAAGTAATATGCTGTTTCACTGTTGCCCTTCCATAAACATGCTGATGGTTTTTCCAAAGGGTAAGGGCAACATGAACTTGAAGAACTGTTTTCATCAGTCTCAGCTGCAGAATGATTTGACTTATACATGAAAGCCGTGTGTTCAAATTCCATTTGCAGATACCTCTCTTCCATGACTTGGATGATCTCATTCTCGACCATATTTGTGATCGTGTCAAGCCCCTTCTCTTCTCCAAGGGCGAAAAAGTGAGATGCTATGAACCTTGTGACAATAAGCGGAATTGGTTTTCGCAAGTTTATTCACTGAAGTTTCCCATTGTCAAAAAAAATAAAACAGATCATTAGAGAGGGAGACCCTGTGCATAGAATAATGTTCATCGTCTATGGGCTCGTAGGACGTAGCCAGAGCCTTAGTAAAGGCAGTGTCGCCACAAATGTGCTCGAGCCCGGTTGCTTCTTAGGTGACGAGCTTCTCTCTTGGTGCCTCCGCCGCCCCTTCATGGACAGACTTCCCACCTCAACAGCAACGTTCTCATGCATGGAACACACCGAAGGGTTTGGTCTGGATGCGAAAGACCTCAAGTATGTGACCGAACATTTTCGGTACAAGTTCATGGAGGGTGGGCTAAAGAGGGCGGTTAGATATTTCTCGTCAAATTGGCGGACATGGGCGGCCGTGAACATACAGTTCGCATGGCGCCGGTACAGAATGAGGACTGGGGGCCAGGTGAGGGTTGTGATTGAAAATGGAGATGCTGAGCACAGGCTGAGGCAGTATGCTGCTATGTTCATGTCCCTCAGGCCTCATGACCACCTTGAATAACAGCAAGTCTTTCTGCTGAATTCTGCTGCGGGTGAAAAAGTAAAGAATAACGTAATGATCTCTATCAATTTTACTTGGGTGTTCATTCCCCTTTTCGTTGCGTGAGCTTATATCCCAGAGCCCACTCGTTAGATGAGAGGGAAAGATAGAGAGAGAATTCTGTTACTGGCGCCCCAATTCGCATGTGTTGAACCTTTGTCTGGATATGGGTATCAAATGGGTTCACAACTTACTTAGATCTAAATCACATATATGACTCTCTCTTATCGTCCTTCGATCTTGCGCAAGGCACTCGTTCACTTCGTGCTTTCATCTTCGTTTTGGTGTGAGTTTCCCTAAATTGAGTTAAATATATAAGTGTTTTAACATTATGTATCAAGTCGGGTAGGATATGGATTGTGTATAAGATCGGATCAAATATAAGTCACTAGATTTGTATTGCATGGAAATAGGTCAATTCGGTTCGGAACGGACCATTTTCGACCTAATCTAACCTGACTCACCAATTTGACAAGTCTAATTTGAACTGAAACGAAATGGGCTGACGGGTTGGAACGAATTGGACCATGGGCTTGATGGGCTTGACTGGTGGTCTGATGTGCTAGTGCGAATTTGGACCAGGCCCAACAAACCGGACTAGGCCTTTGCAATTATGACCGAATTGGAGCTTTTATTCATTTATTTATTTATTATCTATTTTTTATACATTTTTTACTTTTTTACAAAAATGCATTTCAATTTTGCCAACAAAAATTCAGGTGTCAATAGGTCAAATAATATGCGAAAACTAATTATCTAGGTTTGAGGGTTCGGTTATACATGAAAAGAGAGTTAGCGGCTTCGACATCGCCCTTTTGGTACCATACTCCTTGCTCAAATTGTTGCATGCAGTAACACATGTATAGTTTTATTTTGAGTTTTGAATGCTTAAAACTTCATTGACCGCCCTCAGGTGAAACCACCGCATCATGGTAGAGATTAGAGGTGGCAAGTGGGCTAGGTTGGGTTGGGTTTGGGTGGGTCATAAATGGGTTTGACCCAAATCTCTACCTATTTAACTCACATGGACCCATTTATTTGCTAAACAATTTAGATAATCCACACTCAACCCAACACCTATCCAACTCAAGCCCACTAACATTTTCCTAAAAACGATTACTTGTATTACTCATAAAATTGAATAAACGAAAAATATTCTCATTGTCCACGAAAATATTTAGACATGTATTATTATCGGTAACGAAAATATTTTTCATCGGCCAGCTATTTCAAACGATATAAGCGATCGTTTTTTAGAAAGTATTTTCTAAATAATTTATTTTCCATGAAACAAACATAACCTAAAGTGCCTTCATTGGGATTTACTATTTCTTCTTTCTTCAGGATTTTGCAGGTTGGTCTAGTACTTACCATAATCATCCAATATACTGTTTTGTATCTTGTGTCAACTTCGAGACTTGCCTTTGAAGAATCTTTCTGCTCATTCTCACTCAAATTGCATCACCATCTCCCTAGGTAACAACATACACCCAGAACACTTTTCAACATCAAAATTTACCCAAAAATAGCAATAACATCTATGTCTACCGTAAGATGAATACTGATATTTTGCTATACAGTTCGCAAGATAATAATATAAACAGGACAATATATGAATCATTATATCCTATAAACCTCTTTAGATTCTAATTAAATTCTTGTTAATCTTGCAGCAGTTTGAATTCATTTCTTAATGTAATTAAATTACACTTTAATCTTTTGCTAATATTTTCCTTCTTCTTTTTTTTGCTGGCGTACGTCGATGCCATTCTTTTCTTCTAGTGCTTAAGAAATTTGGGTTTCACATCTTTAGATAGATTGCTCTCTCAAGCAGAAAACCAAGTAGTGCCTACTATATATCTAGGATAATAAGTCAACCAGAAAATCAAAACTATAGTCTCTTTTGTAATACATAGGGATTTATATACTTTTGACATGATGAATCCACCATAATTCCAACACCATGTTTGTTTTACTTAGATTTGATTTCTTGGACATTTAATTTGTTAGCATGTGAGATATATAGGCATGTATATTGATTTAGAAGATTATACTAAACTACGATACAATTCGGAGACCTAAATTTGATAGCTCGAAGTCCATTATTTACGCGAAATGGATATTATTACAAATAAAGATTATGTATATTGCTATTTCAAAGAGGATGGTCAAATCTTTTAGAGAACTAAAACTGACACTTTTTATGCTTGAAATCATATATTCTCTCTATCTATATCTTAACCGAAATTCGTAAGCTTACGTGGATAACTTTACTGACGCTTTTTTGCTACTATGTTTGGATACGTATGTATATACACACGTACGTATGGATTCCAAAAAAGCAAAAGGATTGTAATGCTTGACATAAATGCAAATTCAAAAAATGTCTCTTTTTGAATAGATTGCTACTAAATATTATACCTTTCTGACTTGAAACCAATGCCGGAATCCTCCACAGCAAATAACATTAACACTAGAATGAAAGATAAGATAAATAGGATCGACCACATCATAGGCCGATTATTTGCTAGAAGTACTTGATGCCATCATACACTTGGCCAAAGTTCCAAGAAGTAGGTGTCACGTTGTCAAATTGGACCATCTTGCCATCACTTGTAGTCACTTGAAATGACAAACTTTGTCCAGTCAGAACAGTTCCAGTTTGCCAATTCTGGCCCCAATTGCGAGACATCGCTAGCCATCTCTTTCCGGAGCCCTTGATCTTTACGGCAATAACATCGCCAGCGCCTCCAACATTATATATTTGCACAAGGGTCCAGTAACGATTTCCCTTGATCTCAAACTTGACACCTCCTTTCTTGGCACACAAGACTCGGCGATAGCGGACGGGGATGATCCCGGCCTTGTAGGCCGCAAGTTTCGTGAACATGGGCATGGAAAGATCAAAATGCTTCAGTGGAGGATTGCACCAATTACCGCTTGGCTTGGAGTAGTTTGGCGGGCAAAAGTTGGTCGCCGTGACTACAATGGAACCAGCCCCTGGAATGCACCATTGTGGGTCGTGGACACACACAATCTCGAAACAGGCACCACAACTCAGTCCATCATTGAAAAGGGCTGTGCTCAATGCCGTTGTAGCTAGCCCGTATCCTTGTTGGAACAGATCTCCATACCCGCAAGCTCCCTCTGTGAAGAGTTAACATAAAAGTGGGTAAACCTTAATAACATGCTGCCTTTGAGTCATTCATCAGCGATTAACATTATAATGAATGATTAAACTACTTACCTTGCTATTGTCGTTTATAAAACAGATGAAAATTACAGATCCAACTGTTCAACACTCTCTCAGTTCAAGCAGTTGCAAATACACTACATCTCTAAATTCAGTGTCAAGACGATTGCTGTTGAAACTTTCAGAGATGTGTTCAAGCATGCACAAAATTGTAAACTATGGTCAAGTATATCTCTTCGACACATCACAACACAAGTCCATAGGCCCTCAGACTTTCCATGCATGAAATTTGAAGAAGAGAAAAGAGAGATCACATGATTTTATACATAGAGAAGCAAACCTAAAGAAATCTTGTACCTCCGTGTGAGAGTTTGAAGAGTACTTACGCATGGTTTCTCCTCCTTCCATGTCGCCGTAAAAAGTAGCATGTGCATCGTGCCACTTGCGACTGTCTTTTGCAGAGACTACCATCGCCATAGCCAACAGAAGAAAGGTTCTGTAGAGAGCCATAACGGCGATAGAAAGACCCGAGGAGGTAACATTTGCAGAGAAGGGTGATGTAGATCTCTGCAAATGTCACCAATGTAGGTACTTATAGACTTTAAGATGAAACGAAAGGGAAGGTTAGAAGAGAGACATTATTAAGGAGAAGATAATTAAGGAAATGGCGTATTTTCAGATAAGATATGAATTGATTTTGAAGTTATGGCAGTGAAAGAAAATATATGGTCTAGCATTCTGTCAAAAATATTACTATTATTACAAGATTCTAATTTTATCTTTGTCCACTTTTTCTTTTTCATTTTTTTTTGGTCAAAATCTGTGTCTACTTTGACAAGTGCTAAAGTAAAACGAGATCATCTTCCCATTAATGTTGACACCGTTGGTGCAAGAGCTTTTGCCTTCTATTACAGAAACTTTGGTCAATAATGCAAGGGTTGATACACAAAAAATTACAAATTGATATACCTGTGACAAATTTACCTAAAAAATAATTTTTTTACCACAAAAAATCTTAAACTGGTATACCTGTGACAAATTTACCCCGAGTTAGTTTCCGTTAAATTTTACCGTCAAATTGCTAAGTTGGATGGCACGTGGCAGTTGACGGATGTACCAGTTTAGAGTTTTACCCCTCTCTTTATTACAAATTTACCAGTTTGTGATTTTTTGAAGTATTAATCCAATTTAACGAAAGGTAAATTTATCACAAGTGTACCAGTTTTGATTTTTGTTGTTCAAAAAATTAGTTTGGGGTAAATTTATCACAGGTATACCAGTTTGAAATTTTTCGTGGTATTAACCCATAATACAAACCATTGGAGTTCACTTCAATCTTGTTGGTTATAATCTTGATGTTGATATATCTCCTGAATCTCACTTTTAGTGGGTCAATGTGTGGTTGACTATTCATGAATTCAATTTTATTTCTCTGGTCTTGGGAACAAACCGTTTGAAGAAACAATCTCAGAGCCTTAAGAAATTTTCTTGACATTTCATAAATTTGATAATTAAATAGCTCGGCTTTTGTATATTGGAAGAAAAAAAAGGGATATATTTCCATGCGGCTTTGTCAACGCCTATTATTGCGGTTTTTAAATTGCGCTAATTAGTCAACCTTGAATTTTTCTTTTTTTGGTCAAATCACCTTGATTTTTTTTTTTGTCTAGTCATACTTTAACTCTCAACTCACTCTCATACTTTTGCCTTAACTATTTAAAAATAAATGGGTCATATATGGGTCACTTTAATTTTAAAGAGTCAGCCTTAAATGGGTTTTAAATTTTAAAGCTTAAAGATAAATGGGTCTAAATGGGTTGAGTTTGGAACCCATGTCCAACCCACCTAGTAGACCCATCCACACACTCTCTCCCTCTTTACAAAAATATTTTTAAAAAATCGAAATTTAATTATTTTTTTTCTCTTTTTCTTTTATTTTTTCTTTTTTCTTTTCTCTTCTTTCTTTTTCTTTTTTTTTTATTCCGGCCGGTGGTCGGCCACGACGACCGGCCACCGGGGCGGGACGACCTTGCCGGAGGCCGGCGAAGCTCGAGCTCCCCGGCCTCGGGCGAGGCTCGAGCCTCGCCGATCTGGTGAGCCTCGAGCTCGCCCGATTCCAGCAACCTCAAGGCTCGCCCGATCCCGGCGAGGCTCCAGCCTCGCCTGAGGCCGGCGAGGCCTCGGCCTTGCCAGATCGGCGAGAACGAGCTTCGCCGTCCTTCGGCGAGCTCGTCCTTGCCTGTGGTCGGTCACCGGCCACGGCGGCCGACGATAGGCCAAAAATAAAAATAAAAAATAATTAAAAATTCGATTTAAAAAATAAAAAAATATTAATTTTTTTTATTTTCTTGGATAATAACTTTATGGAAAATATTTTTTAGAAATGTCGCATTTTTCGTAAAACAAACAGAACCTCAATTTTAAAAAAAATTATAAAATTTTTTCACTAGCTTTGTATTGCATAAAATGATTTAGCAGTATAATTTTTAAAAAAAAAATCATAAGAAATAAGTATTCTTATATTAGGTTAAATATAAAAGTGTTTTAGCAATATGGGTCAGGTCGGGTATGGGTTGGGTATGGGTCTGGTCGGGTATGGGTCGAGATATTTACACTATGAATAAATGGGTCATAAACAGGTTAATGGGTCAATTTGGGTCGGGCCATTTATGATCCGACCCAAACCCGATCTGACCCACCCGTTTAACAGGTCTACCTCTCACTCACTTTTCTCTCTCTGTTTCACTTTTTACTTTATTCTCTCTCTTCCTCTATCTATGCAGTCTCATTGCTCTCCTCTCTCTCTCTCTCTCTTTCCTGCTTTATTCTCTCTCTTCCTCTTCCCTCACAGCATTATCATCTCCCAAAAAGTGACGAATCACATTTTTCACTCTGGCTTCTTGAAGTTGGGCTAGGTGCCGCGCTTGAGGTGCTCGGAGGCGGTCCGCGACGGTTTGGAGGCGGAGAAAACGGCCTCGCAGAGGGAGTGCAGCTTCACGGCCTTGGCGAGGCCGGTGTCGGCATCGTATACAAGCATGGGCTCGAGGTGCGCTCAGTACCACGCGCCCTTCCCCTTGACGGCCTTTGGCCGTAGCATGACGAGCCCCTCGTAGCGCTTGTTCACGGCCTCGGCCGTCAGCTCGTCGGCGGATGTCGACATCGAGACCGAGTCCACCTGGACCGGTGACGGCGGCTCCGAGGTGTTTGTGGTGGCCGCCATTAACCAAACGGGTCGTCCGAGTCCCGGTCCTCGCTTTTTTGTTGTTAGAGCGGGTTCAGTCGCCAGAAGTTCGGTCTCCGGCGAGTGTCCATGGGCGACTCCGGTGATCTGGTGGGGCCTTTCGGTGGTGGATCATCAATTGACCTGCTTCTTGACGGGAAGAAGAAAAAAGTAGTCTCACAGAGAAGGGAAGAGAGAGAGCGGAAGAAGAAGACGAGAAGGAGGAGGAAGGGAAGAAGTGCAAAAAAAGATAAAAAAGAAAAATCGAAAATCGAACCGAACTGATCCGAACCGAACCACGTTTTCAGTTCGGATCATATTCGATTCGTGTGGTATTTCGGTCCGGATCAAGCACACGTCTAAACGGTTCGATTCGGTTTGGTTTTCCTAGACACCCAAACCGAACCGAACCATTGACACCCTTACATGCCGTACAACATCTTAACATACATTTCTCTATGAAACTTAAAGAGAGGGAGTCAGGAACATACCTCAATAGCGCGACAATTGGTAGGCGCTTCGGGTTAATGTGAGGCAGCTTCACCCGGAGGCATAAGACTTTCGGAGCCCGTAAATTTCGCATCTGAAGTCTCATTAGTGTGATATTTGCGTCGTTGGAACATTGCACGAGGGCTTCCCAACTAGCCTAATCTTCATAAATATATTCGCAAAATCATGGACCCAAAATTTTAGCTCATATTAGGGCCTAAGGCTCAGACTATGAACTGAACCTCGTTTCGACGACACGACATTTAAAAAAAAAATCATTTACCGTAACTTAGAGATTTAGAAATTTAATTTGATTTCGAGACCTCTAAGTATGATTTTGGCTTTGATACCTTTTTTTGGGTATTGGAAAGTTTGACCGGAGCTTGACCAATGATAACTTCTTCGGTCGACATTTGATCGACTCGGGCTTTAATTGCATCGGAATGATTTGCAATCTCTAGTTCCGTGATGTGCAGCTGAAATTTGGAAATTGTAAACTCAAAAAGCGGGACCATCGATCCCTAAAGGTAAAAAGTCGATTGCTCGATCCAAGTCACGTGTGGTAGGATTCATTTTGACAAGGGACAACCCACTTCTGATGTTTAAAATGTGCCTTGCGTCCTGTATATATCCTCCATCAAATCTCGGTCTAACTCCCAAGTCAACCCATGGCCAAATGTAAAGATCGTCCCACTCCATCTGTAATTGAACTTCCTCTTCAAAGTTGTTCTTCCGGACCTAATGATTTTCGAAATATCGATTTGTTCGACGGTTGCAATTAGGTCCTTCCGAGCATATCGATGCTCTCGTGTTCTCCGAGTTGCTCTCCTTTCTATTCGGTCTATCCAAGCGTCTTGATGATGCCATACCTTCGCTTGGTCTGCAAAATCGAAAGGTCCTTCAAATTCTAACACTTTCCGCTCATAATTGTATTCTCCATTTGCACGATAAAGGAACTCTTCGCTACCACAAACATCCCCGTTGTTAACATCGTTCACATATAAATCTGTACATGTTGAGAATATTTCATGTATACACTCAAATACACATGAGGAGTTTCCCAACAATTTAGTAGATTAATCATGTTGTTAATACCATGAAAAACCCCAAATTGATACACCCGTGATAAATTTACTCTAAATTAATTTTTTAACCACAAAAAATCCTAAACTTGTACACTTATGATAAATTTACCCTCGGTTAGTTTCCGTTAAATTTTACTGTCAAATTATTTTGTTAAATGACACGCGACAGTTGATTGATGTATCGATTTTATATTTTACTCTCCGATTGTCACATGTGTACCAATTTGTGATTTTTTTTTTGCATTAATCCAATTTAACGGAAACTAACGAAAGGTAAATTTATCATAAATGTACTAATTTGATATTTTTGGTGGTTAAAAAATTATTTTTTGGTAAATTTGTCACGGGTGTATCAGCTTGGGGTTTTTGGTGATATTAACTCTTAATCATAATATCTCTAGTGTTGCACTTTATTAAAAGAGCTCAAGCTCCGATTTGTTTCTCACTTGTTAATAAAACGTGGCAACGTGAATAAGATGAGATACTTTCGCTTAAGCACCGCCGCGAGTGCCAACGGTGGACGCACGAGAGGGAGAGCCGCTCTCAAAGGCGCCTTCGCGAAATGAACACCTCTATGGGATTCCAAAGTCAATTAACACTTTGAATTTCATTTGATTTTAGACTCCAGCTCCTCTGACAAATGGAAAAAAAATATCACCACGATTAGGGATGAAATTTCGTCGAATTACTTGCTAATTGTCCTGACTCAATTTGAGGGAAAATTACCAAAAAAGTCATAAACTTATTGTAATTGTGCTAATTCAGTCCTAAATCTTTTTTTTTTAGTTAATTGAGTCCTAAATTTTTTGTATTTATGCCAATTCAGTCCTTCCGGCCAACTTTCACCTAGCCACTGATGAGGCTCGAGCCCTCACCAGCCTAGCGAGCAGTCTGGGCAAGGCTCGCCCTAGGTTGATCTCGCCGGCCCTTGCCTTTGGCGATTGGCTAGAGGATGAAGAAAAAGGGAAGAAAAAAGAAAGAAAGAAACGGACAATAAAAAATTCAAAAAAATATTAGAATATTATAAAAAATTTGTCAATATCAATGCCGGCAGTACCACGTAAGACAGCCGGCATCCACCTCGATACTAGCTAGCCAAAGTTAGCCGAATGGACTAAATCGATATAAATGCAAAAGGTTTAAGAATCAATTAATAAAAACAAAATTAGAACTAACCAATGGGGGTTTACCCCAGTGGCCACCCTTCTCTCTTGAGAAAGGGGAGGTGGAGAGTTCGAATCTCCACCTTCGCAGGGGGTAGGGGTGGGGCCGCGTAGTTTTAAGATGTGGGTTTCGACGCCCACGCTCTGCAAGAGGTGGGGCACAAGTCTGAGTGTCTATCGTGAGTGAAAGATAGAGTAGGACCGACCAAAAAAAAAATTAGAACTGAATTGTTACAATTGTAATATGTTTAGAACTTTTTTTATACACGATTTGATGACTATTCATCATCGGCTTGCCTGATTTCAAGTGAAGTTGGAACTTGATCTCGCCAATTAAATCGAGTTCGAGCTACCAATGCTAAGCTCTACGACCTCGGAGCCTGAGTGAGTCCATTCGGATTTTATCTTGTTTGCTTAAAAATATTTAATAGTTATAAAAGTGGGCACATAATTTCTTAAAATTACACACACCAACTCATTTATAATTGCATCAAAATAATTAATCTTTACAAGTTTTAGCTCAAGTTCATTTATAAACCGGTTGTTATTGACTCGAGTTAAGTCAAGCTCGACTATCTTGATTTTTTATTAGAGTTGAGCTCAAGCAAAAATTCAATTTCTTTATATCATTCCAATTATATAGTCTTTCTAATTATTTCTCACGATGGATTTAAAAAACTTACCTTTTGTTTTTTTGGAGATTTATTTCGATCCAACCATCTCTTTTTTCGACTCTACTCAACTGGCCAAACCTTTATTACAAAACTCTCAATCAACCTTAATAAAAAAAAAAGAATTTGGAAAGATAAAACTCACCATATAATAATGTATTGGCCCGAGAAAACTAAGGCTAACGAGCTCACCCTAATCACAAGCTAAGCTAAAACACTTGCCTAATGCAGTAGTGAAGGGCAAATACGTAACTTCGATACGCTCTCAAGGGCAAACACGTAACTTCAACGCACCCCTTTTGTCCACGCTTGAATACAAAAAAAAAAATTCCCTCTTCCGTCTTTTTCCTTTTCTTTTTCCCGGAAAAAAAGAAAATAGAAAAAATAAGAAACACTGCGGGACGAGCATTTTGCCCTTAATTCATTTTCCCCGCCATTTACATCATCCAATTTTCTCTCGTTTCTAGGGCTCCGATTCCCCCCCTTCTCTCTCCCGCGACTCCACACAAGCCGAAGTCGCTCCCGGATCTCCTCCGAATTGCGCCCCCGCCACCGCCCGGAGCCCGCGCGCCGCCCGCGGAATCGCAGATTCGTCAGCCGCCGATGAGCAACCCGGTCGGTCCGAGCTCGGGTCCCGGCTGGAGCTACCGAGGCATCGGGCTGTCGAACACCGTGCACTCCGATGTGGCCTCGTGCCTCCCGCTGCCCTCGCTCCCGGTGTTCTTCGGCGCGTCCGATCAGGAGCTGCGGCTGTTCGACGAGCGGAGCGCCGCCGCCGGTTCGTTCCCCCGGAGGAGCTTGAATCGCGTCGACGTCCTCGCTCAGTCGAGCAAAATCGCTGATCTGCTTCGCAACGCCGATGTCTCTTACTTGTGAGTGCTTGCATTTCCTTTCGCTCGGCCTCTTCTCGACTGTCCTTGAGCTGAAGTTGCGTTCCAGAGTTTTTCTCTTATCCGTCTCTCTTTCTTATTGAGGAAATTGAAATTACCAGGCGACTCGGCTTCTACTTATTTTTCCAGCTTCGGCAGTTGGCGTAGTTCTTTTTATGATCGTGTTCTGCTTTTTCTCTTCTATTTTACTTCGGTGAGTGTGGGTTAATGGACAGGCATGGTGAATTAACGACTTCATAACGTCAGAATTCTGCACTTATACCGGCCGAGCGAATGTTGGAAATTTGTTGTTTTTTCTGGACTTTTCACTTTAAATTTGGAGATCATGATTTGCTGGCATTTGCAATGTGACAGACGAATGCTATATTTTGTGAAATCTAAATTCTAATTTGTCGAGCCGTGCACAGATGGCGATAACTCTGCAGCTTTTAGTATCTTATCTCGAGTTTCGTGGTTGTCTTTTGTCACCTTGTGATGCGCCTCGGCAATGTGGATTTTGTTTATATGTTTGATTAGGTATGGTTGTGTTTGTGACTAAGTCGATGTTCAGATTATTCTAGAGGATGATGGTGTTTTGAGGATTGTACTGTTGGAAGCGTGACAGTTCCTGTTATTTTAGGGCGTGCTAGTTTTATTGGGGATATGTTATACAGTTGTAGCTTTTCCCCAGGATATCTCTCCTGGTCGAATCAGTGATAGCAAATTGCTATAATATCTGCAATACGAGCCATATGATTAGCTAGTTCTTATCGTGCTTTTCATGCTTAGGAGCTTAGTAGTTTTCACATCGAAGAACACTAGTCTTAAACATACTTTCTTTTCATAAGCTATTATATCGAAATCATTATCTAAATCAAGGACGTAAGGAAAAAAAGGGAAGAGAAAGGAGATTTTGATTTCCTTTTTCTTGTTTGGATGCACATTGAGGAGATGGTATGGAGGGAAACAGAGTCAGTGATTGATGTAACCTCCTTTGTCCTATTCTATTTCGAAATAGGAGTGAACGGAAAAATTGGAAAAAAAAACTATGTTGAAGCAATTTCCTCCATTTCCTTCCACTTTTGGAGGGAAATTGACGGTGGGCCCAAGGAAATACTTCCGATCATTTCCACCCGTTCACCTCTCATTTTATCCACCTAGACAACAAAAGTAAGTTTCTAGGTAAATACTTACTCTCATTTCCTCACATTGCCCTCAACCAAACATACTGAGTTTGAATGGAATGGATGAAGCATCATTTTATAGTTCTCCGCCATGCACCCACCGGCTCTATGAGCTTTCGGGATATTTATGTAAAGCAGTGTGTTTTTTAGAAAGTAAGCATTAAAGGATGCTCAACAAGTGTCAAGGAGGTTTGTAAGCGAATCTTTAGATAAGATGCTAAAATTTGCTGCCATTTGTGAAGTGATACTGTGATACATCATGTGAGATAGTTTGATCAATTCATACAATGTGACTTTTTGGCTTTAGGGCATTTTATAGGCTTTTGTTTGACTATTAGTCTATTGATGGATGAGGATCACTTGTCCCTATATCATAGATGGAAGTGCCTCAGTGAAATTTAACTTGCTGCTGTTAAAATTCTACCTCATTTTTTGCTGTATCTCTTATTCATGAATTTATGGTCTTGGATTTCCTTTACTTCTGGGAGCATTTGGCCTATTCAGCTTGATGTTGACTTATCTTTTTACCTTATTCCAGAAAGCTTAGGGAGGATTTGATGGTGATACCGCATAGCTATGTGGAGCCATTAAAACTTTATGAAGAAGTTCTTTATCAAAATCCCGAAGCCTTTGAGTGCTTTTCTCCAGGTAATGCAGTATATTCTGTTGCTGCTCTTGCCAATACGGGATTACTTTTAATTTTATCTGACCATCTTCTATATTACTGGCCCATAGACCTAGAAGCTTTGTTTTCTTGTTTGGACATTCTCTTTGTAGTCTTCTTATTTTGGACAAAGCTGATCTTTAGAAGAATCAATTTATGTTGCCAAATCTGTTACTTGCAAGACTCGATTGGGTTGCAAGTTTTTCAATTTTTTTCCTTTTTCTAATCTTCAACATTTTATGCGTTATGACAAGGTCCCTGGATTTAATGCTTCTTGTTAGCCTTAAACAGTGTTATAGGATGCGGTTATTTCTAAATATATGTACCTTTTCTGTTCTTAACGTTCATTGCATTGTTCAAGTTTCTCAGGTCATACCAAAGAGCACATATTTCAAAGTACAGTACATGTCGAGAAGCCTCTTCAACTTAATGTTACTTATGCAAGTCAAGCACAAAAAGAATTGCCTCTACATCGAAATAATCAGCTTGATAATGCTCTTGCTAATGTAAGTGTTCATGCTGCTTTAACTGTGCATGACAGACTTTTTGTTTGCAAATTCATGTTTTTGAATTTGCAGGAAGTCTCTACATCTTCTCGGAAACCAAAGGTTAAGAAAAAAGTACGTGATGAAATCCCTAGAGATGTTGGACCTAGTCCTGTTGAATCCCAAGGTCTGATTTTTCATATTTAATTATCTAACTTTTTACATCCATTCGATTACAAAGCAACTAATTCATTAGGTCTCTTCTTAGATGATACGGTTGGAAGGTTTTCTGACATGTTGGAGGACATCTGTAGCAAAGCTGAGATTTCTGGAGATGATAGAGATGAAGCAGAGTGGATCTCAATGCCTATTACCGATCTTAGGATACTTGTTAATGAAATCATGTCAGTTCGTGCGAAGAAGCTTCTACATTTAGTTCCTGCAGATACTCTTGTTAAACTATTAAGGGTTCTAGATCATCAGATCCATCGAGCAGAAGGCCTGTCCATTGATCAGTGTGATCATGTATGTTTACTATGCAATCTTTGGTGTTGATGACAAAAAAATTCATTATGCTTCCAGCAATTTCAGTATATGAACTGATTCAATTACGTACAACTTCTGCTTTGTTGGGATAAGCTCCATTCTTATCTTTTAACTAAAATACATAAACAACTAAAGTGTAATTCTTTAAATTTACTGTTATTAACGGTACTCTGTGTTTCCAGTCAGATCCGGATGCAATTTCCTCCCTCCTCTGTGCTTTGGAATCCATACATGCAGCTCTGGCAGTAATGGCTCATAATCAGATGCCAAAGCATCTTTATAGTGAAGAGGTAGTTTTGCCTTCGAAAGTAGTTTCTTAGCCTTTCACTGTTTTCCCTTTATGCCCAGTGTACGTTATCCATCTCCAGTCTTCAGTACTTCATCGAAATTGATTGTGCATTATTTGTGGCAGATCATCGAGAGGATTCTTGAATTCTCTCGACGTCAAATAATGGACATAATGTGTATCTATGATCCATCCTACCGCGCTTTGCATAAACCTGTTGAACAAGGAGCTCCTGAAGGTTAGCCTTTTCGTGAATGTTTTGTTGTGTATCTTTCAAGTAGAGACTTATTTTACCATGAAATGCCATGGAACCCTGGAACTATTTCTTTCACATTTGGGCTCAATGACTTTTATTATCTGATAAAATGCTTTATGTGGTTTTAAATTCCAGCTGATGAAGATGATGAAGCAGATGCAGATATTGGTCCCAGTAAGAAACGCCGTGTTGTTAAGAGTGTGAAAGCAAAGAAATCAACAGTGAATAGGTCTGCTTTTTATAACATTAATTTGGGAGATTCTTTTCACATATCTCAATTGAGATATTCTGAGTCATTTTTTTTTTCTGTTTGTTGTCCTCTAGGGTCTCAGCTGCTGCTAGTACAGTACTTCAGAAGCTGTGTACTATTCTTGGTTTACTTAAGGATCTACTGTTAATAGAGAAGCTTTCAGACAGTTGCATTCTACAGTTGGTGAAAACAAACTTTACAACGTTTTTGGTGGATAATATCCAGCTTCTCCAACTTAAGGCCATTGCTTTAATTAGTGGGGTATGGCTTTTTGTCCCAAAGTTACATGTGTATTTTGTCGAAAGTATCCCTTTGCTTCTTCTAAGCATTCTCATGGTTGGAACAGATATTCTATTGGTATGCACAGCATCGTGCTTATGTCATCGACGAAATGCTTCTTTTGCTTTGGAAGTTGCCTTTCTCTAAGCGTGCAACACGAGCCTATCACCTGCCTGATGAAGATCAGAGGCAAATTCAGATGATTACTGCCCTGCTGATTCAGTTAGTTCACTGTGGTGCTAACATTCCTGAAGTTTTAAGGCAGGCATCTGACATTACTTCCATCATGGAAGTCTCACATGATGGTACTTATCTCACAAAGTGTCATGAAGCAATCACAGAGGCGTGTTGTCTTTTCTGGTCCCGTGTTCTGCAGCGATTTACTAGTGTAAAGACTCAGGATGCATCTGAGATAAAAGTAATGATGGAAAATCTTGTTATGGATTTGCTGACCACATTGAACTTACCTGAATATCCTGCTTCAGCTCCTATTCTGGAGGTAAAGTGCATATGAATACTCAGTCTTCTTGGTTATGAAATAGGGACAATCTACATTTTAAAAGCATTTATTGCTTAGCTATTTCATTTTGGAGATTTATGAATATCAGAAGATCCTCTCAGAACCTTATAAGAAAAACGAAAGCTGCAAAGCTTTTCCTCATGGTTTATTCACCTGTAGGATGAGGATATATAGACAACTGCGATCAAATGCTGCTAAAAAAAGTAATTACATCATTGAGCAATTGACTCTCTAGTAGAATGTTCGGGTTCTAAATGAACAAAAACATACATGTTGTGTTGTCTTGTAAATGGGCTCTCTTTTAGCTTTGAGCTCGATTGTATAAATGGGATGAAATGCCCCTGGTACTCTTAGTTAATTTCTATTTGCTTATCAAGGAAAAGGAAAAGCAAAACATACCAAACAAGCCAATAATTTAGCAATACATTTTCTTTGTTCACGAACAGTCTTAAATTTTTTGATGAGTTTGATGAGAAATGTGCTATGCATACGTTGTGAACCACCCATTTTCTAATTATTCAGCTATTGGAGAAATGGTTTGTTTTAGAGAGCTGTTGTCAAAGCACAACTACTATTTGTTTCTGTTAGTTTTTAGTATGATCTTCCGCATTGTGCGTCACAACTTAGCCTTGACCTTGAATAATTGTTATTTCTTTTGTTATTGAAAGTACTTTTCTCCTCTTCTCAAGCAGTGATCTACTTGCAGGTCTTTTGTGTCCTACTGCTACAGAACGCTGGGCTGAAATCCAAAGATATAGCTGCGCGATCCATGGCCATCGACCTTCTTGGGACGATTGCCGCCCGCTTAAAACATGATGCTGTTATTTACCGGAGGGACAAGTTTTTGTTGCTACGAGAATTAGTTGATGGTGATAATGTTGACCAAAGTTATCCAAAGGATGTTTGCTCTGTCTGTGGTGATGGGAGGGTAGAGAGATCATTGTTTACCTGTCAAAGCTGTCGAAGATTGTTCCATGCTGAATGCATGGGTGCAAGAGAGCATGTAGTTCCTGATTATAGCTGGAGCTGTCAATTTTGCATCTGCAGAAAGCAACTCCTTGTACTGCAATCATTTTGCAAATCCCATTGCAAGGACACCAAAAGAAATCATGTTGATCAAAATCCAGAATCTTTTAGTTCAATTACGAATATTGAAGTTGTTCAGCAGCTTCTTCTTAATTTCCTCCAGGATTCCAGTTCCACTGACGATGTGCATGTCTTTGTTCGTTGGTGGGTGTCCGTCTTTAATTCTTGTCTTTTCTTTTTCAATCATTTGATTTTTTTTTTTACCTTGACGTAAGATTTACTTGCATGCAGGTTTTATTTATGCCTTTGGTACAAGGATGATCCAAAATTTCAGGAAAATTTCTTTTACTATCTTGCTAGACTGAAGTCAAAGACTGTAGTGCGTGATTCTGGTACTGTTTCCTCAACTTTGACAAGAGATTGTATCAAGGAGATCACTTTAGCTATGGGACAAAAAAATTCCTTTTCCAGAGGGTTTGATAAGATCCTTCACATGCTTTTGGTTAGTAATCTTGTCTGCTCTTCAGGTTTAGCGAGCTTGTCAAATGAGTGTGCTTTTTCACAATGTGATTGATTTCAGGCAAGTCTGAGGGAAAACTCTCCTATTATAAGGGCCAAGGCTCTAAAAGCGGTAAGTCAAAAGTCTATTTTGCAAACTGACCTATGGATACATAGTTTTTGATAACATGTTGCATGTGATATTTGTTTGACAATAACAGGTAAGTATAATTGTGGAGACCGACCCAGAGGTATTGCGTGACAAACGTGTGCAGCTTGCTGTTGAAGGGAGGTTTTGTGATTCTGCTATATCTGTGAGAGAAGCAGCATTGGAACTTGTCGGTAGGCATATTGCTTCACATCCTGATGTTGGATCACAGGTTAATCACCGTACTCATCCATCCAATTCTTTTGTGAAGACACTTCTGGCAGTTATATCTATCTCTCATTACATTTTGCTTTTCAGTATTTTGAGAAGGTTGCAGAGAGAATTAAAGACACTGGAGTTAGTGTCAGAAAACGAGCTATCAAAATCATCCGGGACATGTGCACTTCAAATGCTAATTTCTCTGAATTCACTAGTGCTTGCATTGAGATCATTGCTCGTGTTAGTGATGATGAGTCTAGTATTCAGGTAATAAGGAATTTATGCTTAGTTTAGCTTTGCTTATTTGAGCTACTGGTCTGAACGTAATTTCCTTGCTCGTCTCTTAATTTGAAAGTATTTTTATTGTTAAACGTAAAAACTCCAGTTTCTGTTCTAAACTTTTAGTGAAAACTTGGATTATTCATATTTTCTTATGTGGTATCTACGATGACTGGATCGCTGAGAGGAAGCTCTTATGTTTTGCTTAAAAAATGCTTGCTTGCTTTGTAAACTATTCTTTTATAGATGATATTTGTCTTTTCCAATCTAGTTTCTTCATTAGTACCTTACATTCATCAGCAACAAGTCTTCTGGCATTTTCTTATTGATTATATTAATTATATAGTTACATGATAGCAGTTCTTAAAGGATATAGTTTACACACTGGTCATAATTCAGTTGATCCTTACTCCCGAAGATCTTGTTGAAAGTACACCACATGATCTTTTTTTTTTTTGTGCTTCTCTTGTTTACAGGATCTTGTCTGCAAGACTTTTTATGAATTTTGGTTTGAGGAACCACCCAGTTCCCAGACTCAGATTTACAGTGACGGTAGTTCCGTTCCATCAGAGGTTGCTAAAAAGACCGAGCAAATAGTCCAAATGTTGAGGAGGATGCCAAATTTCCAACTTCTTGTGACTGTTATGAAGCGCAATCTAGCACTTGATTTTCTTCCACAATCATCAAAAGCTGCTGGAATCAACCCTGTTTTACTAGCATCAGTTCGAAAGCGCTGTGAGTTAATGTGCAAGAGCTTGCTGGAAAAGATTTTGCAGGTATCTCTTCCTTCTTGTGCATCTTTTTGTGTGCAGTTGCTGTCTTTTTATTGGATCTGAAGCTGTGTTTGGAATTTTACCTTTTTCAGGTGGAGGAATCAAGCACTGAGGAAGCAGAGGTGCGGTCACTTCCTTACGTGATGGTTCTGCATGCATTCTGCGTTGTGGATCCGACACTCCTTGCTCCAGCATCCGATCCTTCCCAATTTGTGGTGACTTTGCACCCGTATCTCAAGAGTCAGGTTATAGATACAAGTTTATGGTCATTAATTTTTACTTCACATTTTGTCTTCTCATACCATGAGAATGTGTGGGTTGCTACCGTCAGAGTCAGAATGCTCAATGAGTTCTATTCTGAGAACATGGTGCTGCAACTGAAACATTGCATTGAAATCAATAAATCTTCATTTGCCAGAAGATACTTGCCTCCTTTGCTGATAGATACGCTATGAAAAACCTTTTCATTGGTAGAACTGCATAGTGTTCTAGTAGAGACTCATCCGGTTGGTTTGGAATTATGTGTCCGTTTGACTTACTTATATTGATTCCACTTTACATTCAGAATCGGACTGAAAAATCTCTCTGCTCCTCTTTGTGGTTAATGCTTCTTTGTCTTTTAATCTCTATAGAAACTGAGTTCTTGAAGAAGAGAACCAAAAGAAGCATTACTGACGTGTGATTGGTTTGTTTACTTTTAGGGTGACAATAGAGTGGTGGCACAATTGCTGGAAAGTATCATCTTCATTATTGATGCTGTTCTGCCTTTGCTTCGGAAGTTACCTCAAAGTGTTATTGAAGAACTAGAGCAAGATTTGAAGCATATGATTGTACGGCATTCTTTTTTAACGGTTGTCCATGCGTGCATCAAGTAAGTTTCAAATTCCTGCCCGTTTGGGTAATTTTCTTTCTACTGCCACAAATAGATGTTAAGGATATCAATGACCAAGTTGTTCGGCTTTGCACATAAATTGGAAAGAACTGAATCAAGGTTTTTCTTTTATGGCCTGAATTGGATCAAGCCCCAAATTGTCTAACTTGAACTGAATCAGGAAAACCAGTTTTTGTTGAGTTCAGTTTCTTGTTGTTTGTGTTTCTTTCCTTGATTAGATTTTGCCTCTTTAGATAGTGTCTTTAGCATCATGATTTATGATGCAGTCAATTCCTATCTTAACTGGATATCTATACTTCTTTTCAACAGTAGTTATTACAAGTCAGTTTAATTTGGGTTATTTGGTTCTTCCTGAGGCGATATGGAAACCAAATGGAAATCCAAGAAAGAAAAGGAAAAACCCACCCAACGGAAAAAAGAAAAGATCTTTATTCAGTGAAGTGATAACTCAAGTTTGGAGATCAGGAGATTCTTAAAACTTTTCTATATGCCAGCTTGAATTGTTCTTATACAGCGGTCTTTACAAGTTATTCTAGGTTGGAAGCGATACTCATCCAAACATCCCTCCGTGGTTCGTTGTGGGCTCTCTCTCTCTCTCTCTCTTTCATATGCTGTCCTTTCCTTGGGAATGGGTGGGAGGGTGTGTTTGGTTCATAATAGATGGGTCGTTTTAAACACGCTGACTGTTGCATATGAGTGGTCATGTGTGCACCTAGATTGTAAGTTTTGGAGTTCAGATACTATTTTATTCTTCAAAACAGTGTGGCGAATGCATTTTACATAAATGTGTTTAATTGTTGCAGGTGCCTTTGCTCTGTGAGTAAAGTAGCTGGAAAAGGTTCTAGTGTTGTTGAGTATCTTATACAGGTGTTCTTTAAACATTTGGACTCGCAGGGCTTTGAGAACAAGCAGGTCAGCAGCTTGAATTGAGAAAATTGACTTTAAATTTGTTGCAAATATGTCTGGCATGCAGAATGCAATGGCTATAAAGAAAGAGTGATACGCCATATATGTTCACAAAGCAATGTGGGAAGCTCTGGATTGGTGCTTGAACATAGTCCACTTGTTTGAATACCCACTTAGTGTTTTGTCGCATCATTTTGTAAACTAAGATTTGTTTTCTTCGCTCTACTCTGCTGCCATTTACTTAGCAAGGTGGAACTTGATTAAAAGTTCATTGAGTTGATTTCTCGCTGCTGGATCCCCATAAAGCTCATGGAGCAGTCCCTTTTCATGCCAGTTCGGATGTGTGGTCTGAATTTTTTTTTGTGTTTTGCGTCTCTGATGGTTGTGATATTAGACATTGTTATTGGATTCTACTCCTTTGTTTCCTTTTTTTATTTTTTGTTTTCTTTTTTGCTGAGTCACTACTTTTTTCTCAATTTGCTAGCATTGGCAAATTCGCAGATTTCCTGCTTTTTCCATAGAACTCCAGAAAGCCAGCTTGGAGTTGAGATATCATGGTTTTTTAGGGATAGTTTGAATACTAATACCCCACTAATATCAAAAGCTTTCTGGCTTCTAATTTGCATTTATACATCTACTTAGAGTATGCATTTGGTTTCTGAACAAGCTTGAATGACAATGGTGCAGGACTTAGATCCCAGCTGTTTTGTTTTTTTCAATTGCTTCGTCTTTTTCCCAATTGGCTGATGTGGACCTGGGAAGTTGAATTTATTGACATTAGTGTGTCAAGTGGGGATCTTATGTCAGGACTGAGGGTTCGATTAGATGTTCCATATTTTAACCAGCTTAGGAACATTAGCTGTAAATGCCTTTCACTGGTTCATCAGCCAACTAGTTATCAGTCGAGCTATCTAAGTTTCCTACTTGATTGCCACAAAATAATTGATCTGTAGACTTTCCTCGTCAACCCATTTTACGTGGGAGCATATGTGGTGAAGGTGATATTCGGAAGGAATCTACAAAGGAATGTCTTGTTTGTGAGAAGATCAATGAATTTTTCTTACCATAACCTGACTTAATTCGCAGTGAATTTTTGTAGTTCTTTGCAAAGTTCAGATTTTTATTGAGTTTCATTGGCGTAGTTCTTCAACTCAATTTAAACACTTACAAGATGATTTCATTGGCATAGGTTAACATTCATGTCTTATGTGTTCTCTACTTCCTTTGATGAGCTTCTACTAATTGTATTTTGTTTTTCGAACTTCAGCAAATGGGTCGTTCTCTTTTTTGTCTTGGATTGCTCATCCGCTACGGCAATTCTTTACTGGGTTATTCAAGTAACAGGAATATTGATGTTGCAAGCAGTCTCAGCTTGTTCAAACGGTATCTGCTTAAGGAGGAATTTGTTTTAAAAATTAGATCTCTGCAGGTACTTACATTCCTAGTTCATGACTCTTGAATTTTTGAATTAGCTTTGAAAGGGTTACTCATAATAAGACAATTCTTGTAGGCTCTGGGATTTGTTTTAATTGCGAGGCCTGAATTTATGTTGGACAAGGAAGTAGGCAAAATAATAGAGGCCACATTGTCTTCTGATTCTGATGCTCGTATTAAGGTATGCTGTGCTGGTTTGCCACCTCTCCTCTCTCATGGTATGTAATACTAAGTTGTCCTTCCAACCAGATGCAAGCTCTCCAAAATTTGTATGAATATCTTCTGGATGCTGAAGCTCAAATGGGAACAGAGGTTACAACTAACGAGGCAAATTGCACCAATGAAAGCAGTCAGAGCGTTCCTGTTGCTGCTGGTGCAGGAGATACTAACATGTGTGGTGGTATAGTTCAACTCTATTGGGATAGGATACTGGAGAGATGCTTAGACCAAACTGAACAAGTTCGTCAGACTGCCCTCAAGGTGAGAACTTGAAATCAGCACTTCACTGCAGAAATGCTTTCAAGTTGACTTTGTTTAGAAATTTTAATAGCTGATTGATATGAGTGAGAGAGAACATCTTGTGGTGCTCATTGTAAGCTTGATTTCTTTCTTTGCCATTATTGTAAGCATGATTTACCTTATGCAAGTTTTCTGTTTTTCACAGCCATTTCTGCGCACTTGAATTTTGAGCATCGTCACTGTTTAATGCAGATTGTGGAAGTGGTTTTGCGTCAAGGTCTTGTGCATCCCATTACATGTGTTCCATACCTTATAGCGCTTGAAACTGATCCACTGGAGGTAAATGCAAAGTTGGCTCATCATTTGCTGATGAACATGAATGAGAAGTAAGTGGTAACAATGAGAATGATTTTGATGGTTTCAAATGTAGGACTTTTGATTAATATGTACTTCTTTTCAGGTATCCTGCTTTTTTCGAAAGTCGTTTAGGGGATGGGCTGCAAATGTCCTTTATTTTTATACAAATTATTAGTGATGGTTCCTCTAATGGTGGGAGCGAGAATGTCCCTCATAAGGGTCCTGGAAGTATGAAAGGGAAATCTGATGGTATCTCATTTGCTCAAGCAAGGCTTGGAGTTTCAAGGATCTACAAACTAATTCGCGGAAATCGGGTTTCCAGGAACAAGTTTATGTCCTCAATTGTGCGCAAATTTGATAATCCAATATGGAATGATACAGTTGTTCCTTTTCTGATGTGAGTTCATTACTGATGCTTGCACTGAGTTTGTTTGTGGCAAGGAGTATATATAACATGAATGTTGATTTAATTCCACAGGCACTGCACAGAGATTCTTGCTTCATTGCCGTTTACGACACCCGATGAGCCACTCTATTTGATTTATACGATAAATCGAGTAATGCAAGTTCGGACTGGGGCCATTGAGGCAAATTTAAAGGCATTTTGTTCAAGATCGTTACCAAGAGACAGCCAGGATGTGGTACAAGGGAGTGGGATTAGTCAATGGCCAGCTTCTCAACCTGTCTTCAGTAATGTACGATCCCTGGATTTGAATGGCACATACCAAGAGTTGGCTTATCAGCCTTTTTTCAATCATACGACATCAGTTGACTTGAATGGCAGTATCCCACCACAGCTATCAAATCAGTTCAATTTGCACAATTCTAATTTTGAGGAGGCAAAGCCCCAATTTAGTGGGTCTGGTGAATTTTCTAGCTTTTCTGAGGATGGTATGCAGAAAATCCAGGTAATTATGAAAATTCTAGCCTTGGCTTTCTCTTATTGTAGCCTGGAAGAGTAAATAGGTAGAGGAGTACCCTCTCCTCTATGATCCTGATGACCACTAGACCTGATGAATATGTGGACAGCCTGTAGGGCTGGCCCAGGTCTGAGAGGACTGAAGGTAAATGTTGGGCTTGAGCAATGGCCTTACATTAAAAGGCCCGCTCTATGATCTTGATAACCACTAGACCCAATCAACGGGCTGTGCAGTCCACATGGCGGCCCAGGTTTAAGACGCTCAAAGGACAAATGGTTGGCTCGGCAATGGCCTAGCTGTAAAAGGCTCAGCCTGCCCAACTTTGTCCCAGGCCTGGCCCAGCCCTGCCTGGCTCGTAGTATCTCAATACACATTATGGATTATGGACAGGCTTGGGCAGCCTGGCCAGGCCCACCCAATGACTCCTAAAAGAACTACTGATCTCTAAATAAATGAAATAATTAATTACTTTCCTATCTTTTCAAGTATATCAATCTACCTACACCTACATTGCTTCTGGTAGTACCCACTTGTCGCCTTTCCTTGGATTCATTGTAATGTTTGATTACATATGGACATATAAGTTGGTAGAAGTTTGTCATGAAGCCTAATATCTCTTTGTGGTGTGCAGGTTGACTGTCTAGCTGCTACGGCATTGCAGCTTCTGTTGAAACTAAAGAGGCACCTAAAAATTATTTATGGCCTCAACGATGCTCGGTGCCAGGTAATCTTTCAGTTAGATGAATTGTGATCTTTATGAAAGTGCTTCTGAGATAAAAACAGGATTGTTAACTTAATTTGGTGCAATTTTTTCCTTTGCAAATCAGTCATTTTCTCCAAATGAGACGCTAAAATCCAGCGAAGTTCTCTCCAAGCAGAATATTCCATTTAATATTAGTGGAATACATACCAACTTGCCTTCCACTTCTCAAGAAGTCATGGAAAGATATCAGGTACTTTAAATTATGATGGAGGTCCAGAGCCTTCTGTCTTTGCCTTATTCATGTATGCCTTAGTGCAATTACTGTGCTTGTGACCTAATTTTTGGACATCTGAATGGCTTTGATACTGCAGGAATTTAAGAGTGCTTTGAGGGAAGACACCATCGATTACTCTGCTTACACAGCGAACATCAAACCAAAGCGGCCTGCCTCTAGAAGAGGTTCTAGACGCGGTGGGGATGATGACGAGGATGAGGACGATGACAACTGGTCAGGAGGCAGGGTACGTCTAACTAATAGCGGAAGGAGAGTCACGAGGAGCAGGTTGAGGTAACACTTGTAAATAACAGGTAGGCTGACATGTACATTTAGTAGGAAAATAATTAGGATATGACAACAGTAGAAATTGATAGAATTCTGGAAAAGGGAAATGGAAGTGCCAAAAGAGTCTAGGGTTCTTCTGGCTCTTGAAGGTACTCTGTTCAATTGTCCGATTTCCAGTTTTAGGCATTACAGTGGCAGGCGATTATTCTTTATGTTAACAAAATTGAAATTTGCTAGAGTAGTCTCGAGCAATTTTGTTGTCGTTGTAAATATCTGTTTCTGTGGGGGAACTAGATGTATCGTAGCACATTTTATGTCAGTTCCTAAAATTCAAACTCCATGTTGTATTGGAACACAATGTATAGTCAAAGTCGATTTTCTGCTTTCCGGCAAGTTTGCTCTATTTGTATATTGTTCCGAATGGACATCTGATTTCGTTCTTTGTCCCCTTTCGGCTCCGGGTGAAAATCATTCACATTGTCGGCTGCAGCAGCTTACTGTACTTGCAATTTGTACTTGTTGCACTGACACTTTTTTGTCTAGTGCCAATCTGCTGAAAGGGCTTGATGGTTTGCAGAATAGTTGACCTGCCTCGTAATGAAATTGGTCTGTTACATCACGTTATACTGCGGTCGGGAGTAAGAATAGAGTTGGTCGAGATTGCACAAGAAAAAACAAAGGTAGCAAGACCTGTTAAACAGGTGGGTCGGGTTATTAATGGTCCGATCCAAATTGACCCATTAACCCATTTATTTGTAATGTGGGCGTGTTTGGCAATTGGCCAAATAATAACTATTTCTATTTTTTTGTTTTCAGAATCAGTTTTGGAACATAAATCTGTTTGTTAAATTTTTTGTTTCCGAGCACAAATTTGCAAAATTTTATTTTTAGAATCAGTTTTGGAATATAATCAAGAAGTAAAAAAAAATTGATTTTTGATTTTGGGAACAAGAATCAGAAATGGAAAATAATTTTTTCTTCTTCTTCTTGGCTTGTGGTCGGTCACTGGCCGTCAGCAATCGGCGATTGGTCAGAGCCAGCGAGGATGTAACGGCCCTCTCCAGATTAGGCGTGGGCGACCCTCGCTGCTGCCTTCGCCAGATTCGGCGAGGGCGACCTTCACCAAGGCTACCGAGGGCAGCCCTCGCCCAGGCTGCTAGCTGCCGCCGCCCTTGTCGGATTTGGCGAGGGCGGTGGTGAGGGTCTAGCCAGAGCCGGCGAGGGCCGCGACGCCCTTGCCGGCCTTGGCTTGTGGTCGATCGCCGGTGCTGGTGACCTGGCCATGGCCAAGGAAGGGGAAGGGGAAGAAAAAAAAAATTATTAACAAAAAGAAGTTTTGTGCAGTTACCAAATGCATTTCTGTTTTTTTTCCATTTCAAGAATAGAAATTTTGGGCAGTTATCAAATGCCTTTAAATGCTTATAAATTGTTCCCGGGCACGGGATAAAAAATAATAATTTATGAGCAGAATCAGTTTTTGGAAACAGAATAGTTGCCAAACGCACTGTAAATATCTCGACCCATATCAGACCTGACTCATATTGTTAAAACACTTTTATATTTAGCCCAATATAGGAAAACTTGTTTCTTTTAACTTTTTTTTAAAAATTATACTGCTAAAACATTTTCATACAATACGAAGCTAATGAACAATTTTTATAATTTTTTTTTTGAAAATTAAGGTGCTGTTTGTTTTGCGAAAAATTCAACATTTCTAGAAAACATTTTCCATGAAGTCATTATCCAAGAAAATAAAAAAATTTCCAATGTTTGGAATAATCTAAAAATGAACTAAAAAATATTTTCCGACATTTGGTATTTAAAATCTGATTTGATTTTACTTTGTGCTTTCATTTTAATAATTTTTTATTTTTAAAAATCAAAATTTTAATTATTTTTCCTTTTTCATTTTCCTTTTTTTTTTGGACGATGGCCGGCCATGGCGATGGTTGGCGACCGACCATAGGTGAGGATGAGCTCGCCGATCTAGCGAGGCCGAGGCCTCGTCGGCCTCAAGCGAGCCTCGAACTCGCCCGATTTCGGCGAGCAGAGCCTCACTAGGCGAGGCCTTGGGCTCGTCGGAATTGGGCAAGTTTGACCTCGCCGGATTTGGTAAGGCGGAGCCTTGCCCGAGGCTAGTGAGCTCGAGCTTTGCCGGCCTCTGGCAAGGTTGTCCCTCCCTTGTGGCCGATTGTCAGCCACAGCAATTGGCCGGAAATAAAGAAAAAAGAAAAAAAAATAAAAATAAAAGAAAAAGAGCAAAAAATAAAATATAAAAAATAATTTCGATTTTTTTAAAAATATATTTTTATAAAAAAGGAGAAAGTGTGTCTGGACCTAATAGGTGGATTGGAAATGGATTTTACACTCGATCCATTTAAATCTATTTATGTTAAGTTTAAAACTTTAAGATCCATTTAAGATGGGCTCTTTAAAATTATAGTGACCCATTTTGACAGGTCTAGGTAAAAAAGTGCTGCTTGTGCAAAAGGACGCGAAGCAAGAACATTTTATTGTTCGGCCCAAAACTGTCTGAAAAAAATTTAAAGCAACTTTTGAAAAGGTTACATCTCGACCTATGCGTCTCTACTAATTAAATACTGGACAAAAAGACCCAAGGACAAGGAACGCTTCATAGCAGATTACTGAAGGGATGAGGATCGTGGCGTGCGCGGCCAAGTTGAGAAGAGCGCCATGTGTCTTGTCAAGTTCACGGTACAATGACAAAGAGAGGCTGCACATCGCGAAACAGATGTTAGGACTGAGTCCGTGACCGTATCTGCCACGTGAACGAGTGCAGTGAAGAGAGAACTTACCACATCTACACTGACTGGTTTACCGTCCTCTGCCAATATTTCAGCTACTGTTCCAGTCTGATCAGCCTGAGAAACCATAAAACCAGAGATTAGTGAAACTACAAAGCAAAATTATAAATCCGTTGCCGGAACAGTCAGGTGTCAAAATACCAACGTTTGAGCTTGAGAACACAAGAAGAAAAAGAAAAGTAGCGCAAGCAGCGAGATTGCATTACTATGTCGCAATATTCATTTTGAGCAAAAAGAACTTATTATGCTCTCTCTCTATGTATGTGTGTGTGTATACTAGAGCATAATAAACTTAATTACTCATCCAAAAGATAATGTTTTTCTGTATCGACAAAAATCTGTGGCCGGTCATCTTGCATGTTACATTTAGGCTGTTCATATGTGGCCAGTCCACTAAAGCTGGCATATTGCCGTTCAACCATTGCAGCCAATTCGTTTAAAGGGATGTGATCATGTTTATCATTATTATGTAGCTAAATGACACACATATGAACACCGATTCCGCATAGTCAACACGACCTAAAAAGAGGTTTTGGCTGTAGGTTCAACTCTCCCAAAACGCAAAGTTACACTTCAGAAGAGGTCAATTTCATTGGAAATTAATAGTTTCCCATATAACCAGGAAAGAAATCATAGCTCGAGGTTGAGTTTGTGTGGACATCCCTTGAGGGCAGAAGCTTGATTCCTGCCCTTCCCACAACCTTCCACTTTCTAAAATAGCCAAATCCGGTCAAACAAGATTGATCACTTCGCCTGTTTGACTATGTCAACCCGAGTAACTTTTGGTTGATCTTTTGACCATAACATGTTGCATACTAAAATCGGACCGCACAAAAGGCCACTTAGTTCAATTGGTTGAATCGGCTGATTGGAATAGTGCAGGTCTATAAACACTAAAAGAGCCTTTGGCGGTGATGATGATCGTTGTTTGAAGGATAGACCATTAGGTTCATCGGCTTAATATTTGAAATGCAACACACCCACTAGTTGGCCAATTGAGACAGGTCATCTATGATGGGCCACGGATAGTACAATGGGTTCACTATTGTTCAAGGTTTAGAAACAGAAGTGATCACCAAAGAAAGCTGAACCAAAAGAAAGGGAGGTCACTTATTTTTTGTAAGTAATTTCTTTTAGTGCTGGGGAGGGACCTTCAACTAAAAGTGATAGCCTCTGTCATATATCCTTGTCCAGAATTTGAATGGGAAAAGGATAAAAATAAATTTCTACATACCTCAATTTCGTTCATCAACTTCATGGCTTCAATAATGCACACCACCTGGCCTTTCTGTACTTTGTCTCCGACCTGGAAGGAGAATTGATGTCAGAGGAGATTTCTTCATTTCTAATTCAATTGGCTAAACGTAGTTGGATCAAAAGTAGAGTTTACATGCACAGCATTGAAGGAAGCTTTGAAATTACAAAAAGGTAAGTATCCAAATAAGATATTTACTGCTCCTAAAAAACCAGATAATTCTAGAAATGTAGCCCGATTTACCTTGACAAATGGAGGTTCACCAGGACCAGGAGACCGGTAAAAAGTTCCAGCCATGGGACATTTGAGAGGGGGATGAGAAGAGCTGCTTTGTTTTACAAGGGCGGGTAATGCAGGTGTTGCAGGACCAGAACCAGCTGGAGCGGCTGAAAGAGCAGGAATTGGAGCTGCTGAAGGTGGAGGTGAAAACATGGCATGGGAAACTGGTGTGGGTTGAGCTGCCACTGAAGCAGCTGCCAGTGGCTGCTGTATTGCTTCTTTCTTCCTTATAGTGATCTCACAATCCATTTGCTTCAGCTGCAATTCCATAATATCCTTTGCATCCACAAGCCTGATCAATAGGAATCAGGTCTAAATAATTATTAGGTGCTTCTTGATCCTGATTGTTAAGTAACATAGGAGTGCATTTGGGCCCAAATAATTCATTTTTACGTACTTGACAAGATTAGAAACTTGAGACATGAATGCCGATATTGATGATGCATCTGGAACGATTTTTTCACTGCCAAGTTTTGCTGCAGAACCATTGCTTTCTTTTGATATAGTGGCTCCGGACTTTGCATCAAGTCCAGAGTTAGAGGATTTCTCAGCGGTTACCTTAATTCCAGAAAGTAGAGTAAGGAGACACTTAGAATTAAATTCGTTTTGAATGTTAGCCTTCTATCTTACTGTAACAAGCTCACCTCATTCAGCTTTGCCTTCACTTTTAATGCAGTTAAACGCTTCCTGTTAGGCCACTGCAAATTCCAAACAGTGTTCAGAAGATGAGTCACAGGGTCAAAAGCCGAATAGTCTTGCCTATATCTTCGTCAGATCAAAAAAATTTCGATAGATAAGTGGAGGTATAACAGTATTATTTTAAGAACAGAATGTCAACAGGTGTATATTGCGAAAAGTCCTCTGACAAGCGGTCCCTTGAGAGAGAATAACTAAACGACATGATCAGCTGATACATTCTATGAATACAGAAATAACTAAGTGGGCTATAGAAATTGCAAGTGCAGTGTGACGTCAGTTTAGAGCTACTTTAGCTCTCTTAAGGTGTCCGATAGCACTTCAAGGCCAAAACACTGTATAAGTCACTACATTCTGAAGCGGGCTTTTAGGAAGCACATTGGTGCTTTGAAAGACTTATTTTGGGGACCTTAAAGAACTGGGTTTTAAATTGACAAAACCTAACTAGTAGATACAGTCTATCAAATCTAACAAAGAGTTACCAAACCAGATACAGTTCAAAATTAAATACAGGGGACAGAGTCTACCAAATCTAACAAAGATCCATTGTGACTCAATGACCTTTCTGTGAATAAAAAACTCAAAAAATGAACAATCTAACTTATACAAAAGTCGACAGTATCCTCTTTGTTCTTGAAAGGCCAAAGGTAATTTCCTCGAAAGGGTAAATTAAATTACAATGTATTTACCTGAAAAGCCCTTACATTTTGGGAAACTTCTCCATTCCATCCCGAACTATAAAACCATTCGACGCTTTTTCAAGTAGATAAAGCTAAATCAACACAATGCACACGCTAGCAAATGATCATTGACGATGAAATGTGCAGATATATTCTGCTGATGTGGAATCTGACTACACCTATTCATATCTGCGGCTTTTAATAGTAATGCGCTCCTATGTACATAATGCCAGCTAGAATCGGCAGTCGATGAAGTTCAGCTTGCGATCGCAAGTTTCTTAGATAATTAAGACTGCAACTCAAGCAAAGATTACTTACCTTACCAAAAAAAAAAAAACTAAAGCAAAGGTTCTTACCAAAAAAAAAAAAAAAAAAAAACTAAAGCAAAGGCGTACAGTTTGAATAAAGAGCAAATAAGTTTGGCGATGCAAAAGTGATCTAAGTATCAAAGATTCAAATGGTCGCCGCCCCACAGACAGTAATATGGAACCCAACACAAAACCCAAACTTCATGCAGAAAACTCAAAAATCCATTGCTAGACCAAATTAAATCGAACGAATTAGAAGCTAGCAATACCAGTAAAATCGGGAAGCGGACAAGACAAAGAACAATGGAATGACTAAAGTCGCAATGTCTCTGGGAACAAACGGAATCACCTGAAACCCGAAAGAGTACAGAGGAAACGAGATCTTCCCCACATTTTGCCTCGGGGTCTGCGGGCTCGTCCCCGATCGAGCTACCGAGGCAGATTTCGGGCAGGGAACCGCGTGCGAAGCCATCGGGACGAAATGGCGGCCGATTCGAGCAGCTGGGTATGCCGGTATTCGCTCGCAATGCGGCGGGAGCTTTGTGATGGGTATGGGAAAAGATCTCGTTGCGGAGACAATGTCTTGGAGAAGGAGGGAAGGCGATGAGATCGAAGAGGGTTTTCTTGCGGCGATTCCAATGGAGCGTGGAGCGCGACAGCTTCGTGTGTGCTGAGAGAGGAGGAGGAGGAGGCGGGGTTTTACTTAATGCGCGTCGATGGCGATGACAACGATGATGAACGACCGTCAAAGGATCAGCTGAACCGCTCGCGACTACGAGGCGGACGTGTTCCGTCTTTCCACAAAGTTGGTGGGTCCAAATCCAACCGGCCGAATATTTCGTCCCGTTTTCTGTTTTTTGGGACTATTTCCCGATCGGGGAAATTCCATGATCTTTCCTTACCAAGGAGGAAAAACACACTCTGTTTTTTTTTTTGTGTGTGGATATATTGACTAGAAATCCTAAAACTTATCACGAAAGTATAATTGAGTCTTAAAACTTACAAAAAGTATAATCAAATCCTCAAACTTGTTAAATTGGTTCAGCCGAGTCTTAAAATTAATACCATCTAATTTTGCTAACAGAAAATGCTGCGTGACTTTTTTTTTTTAATATCTTACTTGGCAATGACGTGATTTTTTAAAAATGTCCGCGTTAGTGTCACGTGGCTCGCCGATGTCCACATCAGCGATTTCTGGCCAAAATTGACTGGATAGACTCAATTGGTAAGAAGTGAAAATGTTTAAGACTCAATTGACAAAATTCAAAGGTTTAGCACCAAAAAAAAAATCCATAGGAAGACTTCATAAGTGGGCCAAAGCAGGCTCAATGCAAGAAAACAATTGTTTGTCCATATTTATCGATGATGTTTTGGGCTTTGTTAACTTGAGTGGGCCTAGGTGAGCGAGTGGGCTACCGGGGTCATTATAAGATTGACCACCGACCACATTTCCTTGGCAAATGGACAGTAACGTTTTGGGATAACGACATAAACGGTCCATGAACATTGACCCAACGTGCAATTTGGTATTTGAAGTTTTAATTTGTACAATGTAATCCATAAACTTTGGCTCAATGTGCAATGTAGTCCGTGAATTTTTGGTACATGTTCAATTTAGGCTTTGAATTATATGAAAATGTTCAGTATTGTTCCCCCGTAATTCAAGTTTAGGTTAAACAATTTCATATTGTTCAAGGACTAAATTGAATATATACAAAAAATCTAGGGACTATATTGAATAAAATAAAAGTTCATGGACTAGATTGCACATTGGGCTACAATTCATGGATCACATTAAACAAATTAAAAAGTCTAGGGATTACATTGCACATTGAGCCAAAGGTCATGAACCATTTGTGTCATTTTTCCTAAAGTTTTCTAACTTTTGATGTTTTGTTTCCTTCTTGTAATTCTAGTGTAAGTTGACTATACTAATATTACATAAAATATTATGTAGTAACTTATTAGGAAAGATAGTAATTTTTTGGGATATCTGCACTAGAAGTCCTAAAACTTGTCATGAAGGTGTAATTGAGTCTTAAAATTTACAAAAATTGCAATTGAGTCCTAAAACTTGTCAAATTGGTTTAATCAAGTCCTAAAGTTAACATTGTCTAATTTACTAACGAAAAATGTTGATGTGTCTTATTTTATTACTTTTCTTGAGACACGTGGCAATGATGTAGCGTCTAACAAGCAACACATCATTAAAAGATAAATATATAAAAATTAAATTAGAAAAATGCTAAAAAATCACAGACCTACAACTAGTGGCTGTGCCCGACCCTCGCCGGTGAGCCTCGCTCATATATGGGGCGAGGGTCGTTCCCTCCCCTAGATCAGGACCTGCAAGCCCTTACCGGGGACCGGTGGGGCTTTGTTGGGGCCGGCGAGGGTCACTGGGCTTCGAGAAGGCTCAGGCCACCTCCGCCGACCCTTCTCGGCAGCTATGGTGGTAGCCACCAGCAAGGGTTGGCTATAGCTGCTGGTTGTGGGTTTGTTTTCTTTTCTTTTTTTAGCTTTTTTCTAATTAATTTATATATATTTTTTTATCTTTTTTTAATGTGACTCTTGTTCGACGCCACATCATCGCCACATGTTTCAAGAAAAGTAATAAAATAAGACACATCAATGCCACATCAGCATTTTTCATTTAATAAATTAGACGGTATTAACTTTAGGACTCCATTGAATTAATTTGACAAGTTTTAGGACTCAATTGTACTTTTTACAAGTTTTATGACTCAATTGCACTTTTGTAACAGGTTTTAGGACTTCTAGGGAACATATACATAATTTTTTTATTGTTTGTTTTTATGTTATTCACTAAGGGCAATTGTCGGTTTTAAGGGCTTAGGTTAAGCTGTAACCTCACCACTCAAGGGGAGCACTGTCGGTTTGATACACAATGAGTAATTTACCAACTTTTTCTAATTAACTTACAAACTACTTTTAGTTACCAAATCTTCTTTGAGTTACTTACCAACTTTTATAAAATTCTTTTATAAATTATCTCCCTTTCTAGGAAGTTACCAAATTTTAATTGTCTTAGTTACCAACGCTCTAAATATCAACTGTCCAAGAAAAATACCATTTTGTTAATCTACTTACCAACTTATCTCTGATTTTCTTACCAACTACTTTTAAGTTACCAATTACCAACTTTCTTTTAGTGATTCACTGAATTTTCCCTAATTAATTTATTCCTTGGAATTACTTACCGATTTTTTGTTGATCTCTTTTTTAATTACCAACTTTTATTGTAAGTTGCTAACTTTATTTGGCTTACTTACCAGCAGATCTTGTTAAGTTACCAATTGTACAAGAAAATTACCGACTTTTTTTTGCAACTTACCAATTTTTCCAAGATTAACTTACCGATTATTTCTCTTAAGTTACCAACTTTCCTTTGAATTACCTATCATATTTTATTTGATTTTGGTAAGCAATTTTTATCTTGAATTACTAATTCTTATCAGTCTTACTTGCTATTGTATCTCAATTACCAACTGTCCTTGAAAATCACCAATTTTTTTTGAGTGACCCATCAACTTTTCGATAATTAACTTTAGAAAAACTTTTCGGTTATGATTCTTTTGAGTTACTTGTTTTCTTGGAATTTTTCGCTTGTTGAAGTTGTGTTCCCTTCATCGTCTTTATGCTTGATTGCTGATCTCAAGTGCCCATGTAACTAGTAATGTTGAACTTAGAAAGATCCGGTCTTGTTTGCCTCTTGTTTTTCGGTTATATCTCCGGTGCACTCAGGCTTTCACTCTTCCTCGCAAACTGTGTTTTGCAATAATCTGACTAAATTCATTCAACTATGCTATGCTTATTGAATTGCCCCTCTCTCTTTCTCTCTCTCTTCCTTTCTTTCTCTCCTTAGTTTTCAGAGATGTCGATGTTTGTCACTTGCAGTAGTGCTTACCACTCTCAGTTCTAGCAATATTCAATCGTGCCCTATTGGTTTGAGAGACCTAGACAAGTTTTCTCAAATGTTGGTCAGCGCATTTTTTATGCTTCATCTTGGTTGAATAGGATTACCTGGTGTTCTCTGGGTCTTGCCGGATTCGTATCTTGATGTGCCAAACAAAGATTATGGAGTTTTGCAGTAGATGTTGGTTTAAAGAAGTGGAAGAATATTCTAGTCCCCCGTAGTTGAATTGACTTGTTCTCGAGATAAATGGGTATGACTTCATCTTTTTAGGAATTAAATTTGTTTCCACTTTATATTTCTTCTCTAAATAATAGATTTCTTTTAATTGTAAAGGCTCCAAAAGATAATATAATCGTGCATAATGTTGATGAAAAATTTGTATTTAGAATTGACATGATATTTGCTAATGAGGAAGCGTATAATAATATAATGCATATGCAACTTGCCAGGGATTTGGAGTGCGAAAAGGACAAAAAGCAAATAGTGGCAAAGGAATATTGCGACGATGCACATTTGTTTGTAATTGTGAATGACACTCTCCACTAATCCCACCTCATAAACAAAGAGATGTTTATAGGACAATGAAGGGAACTGGATGTTAAGCTTGCATTAAATTCATAATCAAAGATGGAATTTGTGTAATTTCCAAGTTTGAGGATGCCCTGTAGCATCCCAAGCACACCCCTTCCTATGAGTCATTCTAACCTTACGAGTATATAAGAATTCGTATGCGGAATACACTTCTTGTTAAGAATAGCATTTATAACATGAATTATAAATAAGGAAAGTCTACTATCATAAGTAACAACACATAAACTAAACTTCAAGCTTCTTCTTATTTATAAACACGGGTTGATACAATGGTGAGTTCACATTTTGAGGGTTAACCGTAGGACTACTCCCTACCCGGTCTATCTACATGTACCCATCACTTGTGTCCGCCAAAAGGATCACCCAACCATACGACTTCATCCAAAATATCGGTCGTGCTCCAAAAATGGTACTCTCCTGCCTATCGCTCCCCGCATCACTCTACTTCACTGTCTCTGTCGTCGGCTCCATCCCCGTTGGGGTATGGTAGTGGTCCTACCGTTCGACCACCAATCCGAGCATATACTGCCACAAATCCCATGAGTATAGGACCCATAGGAGACCCTATGTCCATCGTTAGAATAGAGATACATCTGACAAACACTACATGAGGAAAATCTGGGTCTACAAAATCAGTTGGCTGGCTAGAGAAGTCAAGAGGTACGTCGTAGCTAATGGAGGACGAAGTGGGAAGGATCAGCATCTCAACTAGTCTGAAAAAGTTTAACCACTACATGAATGAGCAATAGTTCAGCAGTAAAATATCTATCAACCTATACCAAACAAGAATAGCATGCATATCAACGGCATAGGCATGCCAGTCTTCTATCTGGACTTACTAACCAAACAAAACATATTTTAATATTCCACATTAGGAACTATCTCAATTGTGATACTTTAACTTAGCAATCACAATCAACAGCATGATTCAAACATACACACACAATTTCACACTTACATGGCTATCATTATCTCACTCCAAGTCACATGCTCGGTGCACTCGCCGGTCATGCAAGGAGGAAAACTCTCGTCTAGCGGGGTTCTTGCGCACTCCGATCCGCCGCGATGTACATCGGAATTCTCAACGAATGGCCCGCGCAGGCTTCATGATCCACTGACCACGGCATCCCGATCAAACTCTAGGGGCATCTAGGGCAGAATCCTCCTAGGCAACCGGTTCCCATAACCGGGCATCCCTCTTTCCCTTTGGCTCCTTG